TAAAGGCATTTTGTTATGCTAAGCTACATCTTCCTTTGTTCCTCCATGTTCCCGGTTGCCCACTTCTCCAGCACACAGTAAGGAACACACAAGCAATTAGAAAACCCAGGGGTCTGCTTGCCCTGGGCGTGTCTTCTCTCCAGCTGTCAGCAGCCCGTGAGCAGTGCTCCTGACTGCTGCCTTCCCTAGTGGAGGAAATAGAGGGACAGTATGTCTGTTCCATCTTCCAGAAATAAGCCCTGCCTTCACTCCCTGGGACGATTTTAGATTGGAGAGCATTGTATCTCAGAAGTGCTGAGATCCTTACTCTGTGTTCCATATTTTGTTGTTAACTCTGGGAATCCTATGTATCTTCTTTCGAGGTGAAAGAAGTAAAGGCTTTTTATTTTAAATCTTGTAATGAAATCTGTAAATAGAGAAAATAGTGCTGACCTATTCAGTTTAGCAGTTTTTGTATTTTGTCATGGCTTATGACACTGTATTTACTTTCTTTTACATTCTGGCCGTTTATTTCTGATGGATCTCAGTGTGCTTGATCTTCCAAGGAGCTTGTTGAATGTGTAGATTGATATTTTACATCAGATTCATAGTTTTCCCCTGCTGTTTCTCCAAGTGTGCTTTCTGCCCCTTCTCTCCCATTACACAGATGTTGGCGTGCTCATGGCGCCCTGGGCCGCTCACCATCACTCCCAGCTTCCTTTCTTTCTTTCACTGTGTCTCACTCAACCCTGATTATTTTTTATGTCTCCTACGCAAGGGTGCGCTTGCCCCTGTGTGTTTCTTTTCCTTTCAGCATCTAGATTTTTGAACTCTACAATTTCTATTTGTTCCCTCTTTCCCAATTTCTGTCTCTTATTGAGAGTCTGAACCTCATGAGACGTGATGTTCTTGCTATTTTTTGCTTGCACTTGGTCTCCTGTAGTTCTTTTGAACATATTTAGAACAACTGATTTAAACTGCTTTTCTAGTATTTGTGCTCTTTTTTCAGCAACAGGTAGATAAATTGCTTTTCTTCCCTGTGTATAATAGACCGTTATTTCTTATTTCTTAACCTATCTTGTAATTCTTTGTGGAAAATTGCGCATTTCCCACAGTGTACGACATCTCTGAATATCAGGCTCTCCTCGTCAGCATTTGTTCTTGTTTCTCGAAGTTGTAGTTATTTGAGCGACTTCTGAACTCTCCCTTCTCTCTCTGTTTTGTGTGGCCACTCAGTTCTCCCTTGGGAGAGCTTGCTAGTCAGCGCCTCACGATTGAACAGAGGGTTCCTCGGATGCCCGTGGCCAGCGAATCCCCTTGGATTTGCTGAGAATTCTGTGTGTGTCTTAGGGTTCCCCTTCAGTGCTGTGCCAGGCAGTTTGCAGCTCTGCTCCACCTTCTTCCTGTCCACCCAGAACCTCAACATCACCGCATGGTGAAAGCTTGGGGTCTCTCCTTTCCGCCCTGGCCGGGTGCCCAGTCCCACACGTATATGTTACTTCCTCAATTGTCAGAAACACAGCAGAGCTTTTAGTGCTCCTGTGGGTTTTTCCTTGAAGTTTTTTGGACAGCCTGCTGTTGTCCATGACTGCTACCACTCCCTCCCACAGCTGTAATTATATCAGTTGCCTCTGATTTTAACAGAAAAAGGTGTTCGCACTAAGTAGATTCTGAGTTGGCTCACATAAAAGCAGTCTTCCAGGTTAATCTCCCAGGACCTGGCCAGGCCAGTGCCATAATGAAGCCTGAAGGCCACCAACCTGCCTGGCGCCTGTCAGCCTGCTGGTCCTCCCTGTGAGTGTAGACTTGCTGTGCAAGCTCCTGTGGAGCTGGAGGCGTGGAAACAACAGTTTGCTGTTCCTACCTAGGTTCAGCTTGGTGTTCTTGGTAATCTTTATTTTTTTTAAAGATTTTTTTTTTCAATTATTTTTTCATTGGAAAGGCGGATATACAGAGAGAGGAGAGACAGAGAGGAAGATCTTCCGTCCGATGATTCACTCCCCAAGTGAGCGTAACGGGCCGATACTATGCCAGTCCGAAGCCAGGAGCCTCTTCCGGGTCTCCCACGCGGGTGCAGGGTCCCAAAGCTTTGGGCCGTCCTCGACTGCTTTCCCAGGCCACAGGCAGGGAGCTGGGTGGGAAGCGGGGCTGCCGGGATTAGAACTGGCGACCTTGTGGGATCCCGGGTGTGCAAGGCAAGGACCTTAAGCACTACACCATCGCGCCGGGCCCGTTCTTGGTAATCTTACAAAGTTAAATTTCCAGAGTTCTGAAGAAGCGTGTGCTCTAGCTGTCTTGTGCTCGCTCTCTATCTCTCTCATAGGAGAAAGGATTCAAAGTGAACTTCAGCCCCATTATTGTGCTAATGTCTCTGATTATTTTGTCTGATTCCAGAAGAACCTTTACCCCATCCACTTTGTATTCTTTCAGCTTTTATTTTGTAAGTATTTAAGACTTGCAGACACAATGCAGGGTTCCCATGCACCCTTTATCTGGCTGTCTCCAATGATTACATCTCACATAAGCCAAGTACATTTTCAAAATAAAGACTGGGACTGGGTTGGAGTAAGTAGGTTAACCTGCCGCCTGAGACACTGCCATCCCATATGTGCCAGTCCTCCAGTCCAGCTCCTTGCTAATGTGCCTGGAAAAGCAGCAGAAGATGACCCCAGTGCTTGGGGCCCCTATTACCCACATGGGAGATCCAGCTCTTTCTGGCCTTGGCCTGGCCCACGCCTAGCCCTCATCACCATCTGGGGAGTGTGCCAGCCAGTGCCGATCTTCAGTGTGTCAGCCTCTCTCAGTCATTTGCTATTCAGATAATCTCTTCTTCAAAAACGAGAGACTACACTTTGGTTCATCTCTTGACTGAATTACCAGCTCTATTGGAATGCCGCCAATTTTTAGGTATTTCTTTGGGGGGAAGGAGAGGTATGTATAGTACTTGGAAATTTTACCCCTTGAATAAATAAAGAGCTATTTCACTGTCACGAAGACACTCCATTGTTTATAAACTACACCCTTCTCCCAGCCTAAGCCTTTGCCACTTAGCCAGGTCTCCATCACGATAGTCTAGAGCTTAGATCATTTATAAGGAAGATATATATTTGACACATAGTAACCCAGTGGTATTAGCTTATTTCAGCTTAGCCTGGTTGGTTTTCTGTGTGTGTGCGTTTTTTCTTCCTTAATTTTTTTTTTTTTTTAGTTAGCCTTGTGCTTTTTCACCATGGGTCAGTAATTTGTTCTTTGTTGGTTGAAGTTTTCCTACAATGATAGCAACATTTATTCATTTGCTTTTTGAAGCACATGGGAATTGTTTCTAGCTTGAGGTTACACGAGATACCTCGCTGTGAATGTTCATGTATACAGTTTTCTTGGTAGACTTTAACCTTTTCATTTCTGTAGGACAAAAGTCCTGAGAATGGAATTTCTGAGTTGTTTTGTTCATTCGAAGTGTGTGTGCACATGCACACCCTTGTGCACACATGTGCCATAGGAAGTGGCTAAACCATTCTCCAGAGTCGCTAATTGAGTTCCCACTGGCAACATATCTTCCTCTGCTCCATCACAGCTTTCCTAAATTCATTACTGCCAGGAGGGAGGGAGGAAGAAAAGGGGTGTGTGTGTGTGTGTGTAGTTGCTTGGAATTGTAATGTTCTTAAATGTTTGATAAAAATATTAGTAGATATGTAGTTATATACTAGATTTTAATTTCCCAAATTGTTGAAGTTGATGAGTCTTGTGTGCTTGTTGGTCATCTGGACATCCCTTAAAGTAAAATGTCTGTGTTGGTGTCACATATTTTGCCCATTTTCTAATCGGATTATGTGCTTGCTTTACTGTTAAGTTTGCAAAGATCTTCATATAATCTGTTTCTTTGTTTTGTGTGTTTCTGGTTTTGTCAAGCACCGCAGTCATTTTTCATTATACTGTTCAATAGTGATAACTGCTTATCTTTTTGTAGTTGCTTGATTTCACCTAGCACAGTGTTATCAGCTTTGTTCTTCTCATGGTTTTTTTCAAATACCTCCTTACAATCTATACCTCATTATTTTGGTTTTAAAGATTTGGTAGAGGTTTATTTGATAGAGTTAAAAGAGACTCAGAGAATCTTCCTTGCTTATTCAAGTCCCAAATGGAGGTGACAATGGCAGGAGTACAGCCAACCTCGAGCTAGAAGCCAGCATCTGTTTTCTGGGCCTCTAGTGTGGGTGTAGGGACCCAAGCACTTGGGTCATTCACAGCTGCTGGTACTCAAACTGGTGCCTATATAGCATGCCAGCATCGCAGGAGACAGCTTAACCCACAATGCTGCTCCAAAGTTAAAGTTTTTAACTTTGATAAAGCCCATTGTCTCTTTGTTTTTTAATGGAGTGTACCTTTGGGGCTATTTCTAAAAACTTCACCTAATCCTAGATTTTCTTTGTATTATAAGCATCTGATAGTTTTCTTTTACATTTAGATCTGTGATCCTTCTGAGTATACTTTCATCTGGTATGAGCTTTAGGTTGTGATGTTCTTTCCTTTGCCAGTGGGAGCCTTGGCCTTGAAGCATGTTGTGTTATTTTGATCACCTTCACAGTCGTAGTATAAGTAGGCGAGCAGTACCATCTCTTTAACAGAAATTGTTAATGTTCAAAAGAATTTGCATTGACTGTCCTCTCATTTTTATCCTCTTAAAAAATAAATATATATGTATTGCTATAAAAGCAATCTAAAAATCATGCAGTTTCTTCATATTAGTTATTACAGATACTATTTGAAGGCCCTTATGTGTATGGATTTTAATTGTTTTTGTTCCAAAAGTAATCTTTTAATTCCATATTTCATTAAGTTTCCTAAGTGCTCTCATACATAGGGTATTTCAGAAACTTGAATTCCCTTTAAAAGCTACCTTAAGTTAAAACTGAAAGAAGATAGAGTCACTCAGGCTGTATGTTATAGGAAAAGACGCAAACACCCATCCTGAGCTAGTACAGGTTAATGCATTTTCTCCCTCTGTTTTGCTGTTGTTTCAGTGCCAAACCTAAGTCCGAAATCCACGTGTCTATGACCACGCCAGTCACGGTGTCCATGGAGACTGTATCCAGTCAGAATAACGATCAACCCACTATTGCCGTCCCTCCCACCGCCCAGCAACCTCCACCAACCATTCCAGCCATGATTGCAGCAGCCAGCCCCCCATCCCAGCCAGCTATTGCCCTCTCAACCATTCCTGGAGCAGTCCCCCTCACTCCACCCATCACTACCATTGCAGCTGCGCCACCTCCCTCGGCTGCCGGGGGTGGCAGTCTCTCTTCCGTGTTGGGCCCCACGGTACCTGAGATCAAAGTGAAAGAAGAAGTGGAACCCATGGATATCATGAGGCCAGTTTCTGGTAAGTTCATTCACAGAACTCGGTTCATTGCCCCTGCTTCTGCAGAATTCAAGTGCTTGTGAGGACATCAGCCCTGACGGCCATTCCTTGGTATACACCGAAAATGTCGCATTTCTTTACTTTTTAACAAATGAAAGAAACTCAAGCCATTTTACTATCCCTTATTAACTCATTTCTAAACGAAGTCATGGAAGAAATTCGTATTCTTGAATGGCTATCTTCCAGTAAAGCTTCCTTCAACTCCTTGAGAAACCATTACCAGGGTCAAAAGAAGATCACGTGTGAATAATGTTCATTAGCTTATTCCCAGCAGATGGAAGAGATCTCTGTAACTCCACCTTTCGAGTGAAATAATGAATGTTAAATAAGTAGTTTGTAAAAGCTGAGTGTACATGAGTGAGTGCAGTCAACTAGGGGAGAAGCACTGATGGCGACAAAAGTGCCTGTAGACTCAGTCCGGGACAGTGCGGCATTAGGGCGGGCCAGGGGCCTGCATCAAGAGACCCTCAGGGTCGGGCTGAGCCCACAGTGTGTGTATCCCGTAAGCAGACAGGGAGGGGTGTGCACAGCGAGATCTCCTGCTGTTGAGAGATGGTGTACTGAGCAGTGATGCCTCAGAGTCAGCCCCACGGAGGTCCAGAAAGCCTAAAAAGGGCAGTTTTCATGTATGAGAGGGCTGAAGCCCTACTGGGAGCAAGTTCAACTGAAAAATAGGCAGAGTATACAGGCAACATTTGAGGAGTTTGTTACACAGGTGTGGACAAAGTAGGCAGTAAGTTAGGTCAGTGCTGTCAACAGGAACTTTTTAATAGTATAAACAACTGTATGTTAGCAGGAATCATCCCATAGAGAGGCTGCTGGCACAGGAAATGCATTGAATGTTCCTGGAACAGCAGCTGCTCAGGTGAGAGCAGGTGTGGCCAGTGTGCACCTCAGGATAGCACAGTGGGCACAGAGGGTCACAGTGCAGGTGGCAGAGGCAGTGGTGTGCTTTTCTTTTTGGGACCTGCTTTTTCAGGTGCTTTTCAATAGAAGGGCCTGGCACGATAGCATAGCAGTTAAAGTCCTTGCCTTGAACATGCTGGGATCCTATATGGGCACCGGTTCTAATCCCAGCGACCCTGCTTCCCGCCTAGCTCCCTGCCTGTGGCCTGGGAAAGCAGTCAAGGACGGCCCAAGGCTTTAGGACCCTGCACCCGTTTGGGAGACATGGAAGAAGCTCCTGGCTCCTGGCTCTAGCTGCTGTGGGCACTTGGGGAGTGAACCATTGGACGGAAGATCTTCCTCTCTGTCTCTCCTGCTCTCTGTATATCTGCCTTTCCAATTTAAATAAATAAATAAAATAACTTTTCAGTAGAAGATGAAAGCCAGGCCATCCTTTGAAAACATGGATGGCAGAGTCTGTGTCGAAGGTTGAAGGGAAGATATGGTATAACATAATCCTTTGGGGAGGAGATGGACTTGGCACACACACGCACACAGTGTGGGTAGCCAGCATCGCCGTGTGTCTTTGCAGCCACATTGAGTTGCATACACGCAGACTAATGGGTGCTTTGGATGAGAACATGTGTGCCTTTGCATAGGGAGTACAAAGAACCCAGAATGGGGATAAGGAAGGAATGAAATGATTGTAGAATATTTTTTGGAAGAATTTTTTTATATATTTGAAAAGCAGAGAGAAATAGAGAAAGGGAGATTTTCCATTCTCTGGTTTATCGCCCCAGTAACCCTAGTGTCTGGGGCTGGGCCATGGAGTCAAACTCCATCCGGTTCCCAAGAGTCGGGGTCCCAAGAACGAGGGCCATCAGTCCCTGCTTTCTCTGGCGCATTAGCAGGAAACTAAATCTGAACTGGAGCAGTGGGGACTGTAGTGGAATGGAAATAAGAGTTACAGTGAACTTTTTACTGAGGTTTGTTTTTACTCGAAAGTTAAAATTACAGAATGAGAGAGAGGAAGAGACGTGAGACAGAGGTCTTGCATCTGCTGGTTCACTCCCCAGAAAGCCCAGTGAGCAGAGCTGGGCTGATCTAAAGCTCTGAACCTGGGCACCTGGAGCTGCTGCTGCTGCTGCTGCTGCTTTACATCTTATTTATTCTTTATTTGAAAGGCAGAGTTACACAGAGAGAAGGAGAGAAGATGGTAAGGTTTTCTGTCTGCTGGTTCATGTCCCACGTGACTGCAGTGGCCAGAGTGGGGTTGATCTGAGGCTGTGAGCCAAGAGCTTCTTTACAGTTGGCACACGGACACAGGGTCCAAGTACTGCAGCCGTCCTGGGACTGGTGCAAAAGCCGACATAGAAATTGCCCTTAAAAAGTAAATTGGGTCAGTGCTGTGGCGTGTCAGGTTAGGCCTCATCTAGGTGCTGGTTCGAGTCTCAGCTGCTCCATTTCTAATCTAGTTCCCTGATAATGGCCTGGGAAAGCAATGGAAGATGACTCGAGTGATTGGGCCCCTGCCATCCTCATGGGAGACCCAGAAGAAGCTCCTGGTTCCTGACCTCAGACTGCCAAGCTCCAACCATTGTGGCCACTGGAAGTGAACCAGCAGAGAGATTAAAGTGTTTCAGATTTCTTTTGGGGGATATACAAGCAATATCTGAACACTATTGGATTCAGATCCTAGAACCAAATATAATCCTGTTGACCTCTTTCTGCCAATGAGATTAGACTATGCCTTTAGATAATAATAAACTGCCTTGTATTTTACTAATTTATCGGTGCGATATCAAAGAATGAGCTAGTAAAAATCCCAGTAATTAAATGTTAGTAGTAAGGGAAAAAGAGATTTAACTTTAAATAACTTCTAAATGTGAATAATTCAGAAACTTAAAATTCTAGCCAGCATATCTCTTTAGAGTTTTTATTTCCAACTACATGTGACAAATTCACTTGGGATATTTCTTTTTCTTCTTAATTTTGAATTTTATGGTACAATTTTGTAGTCTTAGATTCCCCTCTTAAATCCTAGAGCTTCTTGGAAAGACATTTATACAGAGAGAAGGGAAGACAAAGATCTTTCATCTGCTGTTTTATTCCCCAAGTGGCTGCAGCATCTAAAGCTGAGCCAATCGAAGCCAGGAGCTTCTTCTGGGTCTCCCACACGGGTGCAGGGTCCCATCCTCTACTGGTTTTCCAAGCCATAAACAGAACTGAATGGGAAGTGGAACAGTTGGGGACACGAACCAGGGCCCATATGGGATGTTGAGCTATTGCACTGGCCCCAGTACAGTGTAGTTTTAGCATGCTTTTTGATTCCTCAATTTGTGGCACATCTAGACTCCAGCAAACCTTGATTTCCTCAGTTTGAATGCATTCGTATGGATGCAGTGTGCAGTTCACCAGGGTTACTCAAAAGCCAGACTGCCTCTGGAAGCACCTACCTCCACCACCTCGTCCTTTCGAGGCTTGTGAATTAGGAGATAATAATAATGCCTGCTTAGCTTATTTGAGATTCTGAGTTACTAAATCATCTGCTAGGGATTTGTGGCTTAAACATGATGTTTTATTATGTCCTTGAGGCAAGTGTAAGGCAGGCCATTCAGAGATGGTTTGTGGATGCCATCAAATCCTGCATTACTAGAAGCTCAGGTTCCTCCCCTCACCACCCCTAGGGCTAGACCTCAAGGTAGCTCAGCCATCACCTCAGAGTTCTCCAGTCACAGAAAGGAATTAGTGGAAGGTCACACCTTCCTGTTAAGGGAACTTCCTACCAGCCCAAAAGATAACTTTCACCTCTTATGTCTTATGTAATGATGCTGGTAACAGCCTAAGCAATAGGTTCTTGGGGCTGAATTGTACTGTGCTCATGTCAAACTGAAAGTGAACCAGCAGAGATAAGGGGGCCCAGCACAAGGCCTACTGGCTAAATCCTTGCCTTGCTTGTGTCGGGTTGCCCCTGTGGGCATTGGTTCTAATCCCAGCTGTTCCACTTCCCATCCAGCTCCCTACTTGTGGCCTGGGAAAGCAGTCAAGGATAGCCCAAAACCTTGGGATCCTGCGCCCGTGTGGGAGACCAGAAGAAGCTCCTGGCTTAGGGTAGACACAGCGCCAGCCACTGTGGCCACCTGGGGAGTGAACCTGTGGATGAAAGATCTTTCTGCCTCTCCTCTCTGTAAATCTGCCTTTGCAATAAAAATAAATAAGTATTTCAATGAAAATGTTGGGAGGCAGTCGACAAGTTTGTATCACTTAATTTGCTTATCACAGTCCCACCCACCTGAGAGAATGCGGTCGGTGTGAACTCTCTGTACTGGCTTTTAGTCACTGTCATTTCTAGAAAATGCAGTGGAGTTTTCCAGTTCTCAGGTTCTCATAACGTGTGCTCTGCATTTCCTCCGGCAGCAGTTCCCCCACTGGCTGCCAATGCTGTGTCGCCGTCCCTCGCGTTGCTGGCCAACAACCTGTCCATGCCTGCCAGTGACCTGCCCCCTGGTGCCTCCCCAAGAAAGAAGCCGCGGAAGCAGCAGCATGTGATCTCAACTGAAGAAGGAGACATGATGGAAACCAACAGCACTGACGACGAGAAGTCCACTGCCAAGAGCCTCTTGGTGAAGGCCGAGAAGCGCAAGTCCCCTCCCAAGGAGTATATCGGTAATGGACCCTCGGCCAGCCGCTCGCCCCGCACCCCCACACAAGCACGAGGCCCTTGGGGAGGGCAGCGAGCTGTGCCTCTTGTTGAGTGGTCAGTGAGCTGTTATGTGTCATGTTCTGTCTTCCCAACAGATGAGGAAGGGGTGAGGTATGTCCCAGTGCGGCCCAGACCTCCCATTACTTTGCTTCGCCACTACCGGAACCCCTGGAAAGCTGCTTATCACCACTTTCAGAGGTACAGTGACGTCCGGGTCAAAGGTCAGTTTCCCCAGGGCCACCTGGTTTTTTTTTTTTTTCATCAGATCTTTAAAAAAAAAAATAAGGAAAAATCATTTTATTTTTTATATTTACATAGTTGAGAGGGATGTATGCCTATAGGACCACCAATTTGGGTAGGGCACCAAACCTCTTGAACTTGAGTTGAACTATGTTTTAAAATACTATTCATAAAATAAATAAAGCCAGAGTATTTTAAAAATAACTCACAGGAATGAAAAGTAGAGAAATAAGACAAAATACAAATGAACAATGTAATCATGATAAATTGTCAGCAATAATGTCAGTAGTGGCTTAGATGTAAATGGTCTAAACATTACCAGTTAAAACCAAATTGATGTGGAGAGGGAGAGGCCTGGACGGGTGTTGTGGTACAGCGGGTTAAGCCTCCACCTCCAGTGTAGTCATCCCCCGGGAGTGCTCGTTCACATCCTGTCTGCCTGCTTCCAGTTCAGCTCCCTGGGAATGCAGTGAGAGACGGCCTGAGTGCTTTGGCCCCTGCCACCCAGCTGGAGTTCCTGACTCTAGGATCCACCCTGACCTAGCCCCAGCCTTGGTGGCCATCTTGGGAGTGAACTAGCAGATGGAAGATCTCTGGCCGTCTCTTCTCTGTGTCTCCTCCTCTCAAGAGAACACATCAATAAATCTTAAAAAAAAAAAAAAAAACTAAAAGCAGATTGACAGAGTGAACAAAAAAAATGCAGTCCAAATATATCATATTTACAGTGGCTTATGTGGACAATGAAGGGATAGAAAAATATGTTACAAGGGTTATTTTAAAAGAGCACGAGCAGCTTTATGTTAATATCAGGTAAAATAGATTTCAGGTCCCATCACGGTAGCCTAGTGGCTGAAGTCCTCACCTTACTCGCACCAGGATCCCATATGGGTACCAGTTCATGTCCCGGTGGCACTTCCCATCCAGCTCCCGGCTTGTGGCCTGGGAAAGCAGTCGAGGAAGGCCGGGGGCCTTGAGGCCCTGCACACGCGTGGAAGACCCAGAAGAAGTTCCTGGCTTCTTCCTGGCTTCAGATTGACTCAGCTCCAGTCGCTTGGGAAGTGAATCATCGGATGGAAGATCTTCCTCTCTGTCTCTCCTCTTCTCTGTATATCTGACTTTCCAATAAAAATAAATAAATCTTAAAAAAAAAAAATAGTTTCCAGAAAGCACAAGCTTATGGAAGATAAGGATAAGAGCAGATAGAAGACTGATTCAAGATAAAATCACAGCAAAACTGAAAAGCTAGCTCTTTGCAAGGAAGTTCAGATCGATTACACAGATTGTGAGTGTAGCTAATGCAGCAGGCCGTGCAGCCCTCAAACACACTGGAGTTTTCTTCCGGGGATACAGCATGGATGGGTGGAAATGACTTCACAGGTGCTGGCAGGTAGCACTGCAGCCAGCTGCTGACCCAGGACCAGCAGTGCCAGGCCCTGTTAGCTAACCAAGGGTCCTTGCGGCATGAGGCCTGGCACCTGCTCTGTGTACTCCTTTCAGAAACCCAGAACCACAGCCCTGTCCTGAGCAGGTGTAGGGGAGTCATGCCCAGGGGTAGCACACACAGTCGTGTGCCGTCAGGGTGTCGGAAACAAGAGGAGGCGGGGCAGTGGCACAGCCAACACGACTCTCAGGCAGGCGATGAGAAATAACTGTGGATTCTGGGACAGAAAAGAAAATCCCACAGCAGCAGTCATTGTAGAAAGGCCAGTTAAGATACATTGAGGAGGTCACCCAGAAATGCCCCCTGGAAATGGCTGACGTAGGAAGTAGCGACCATTGTGAATGCCGGTGAGAAGTGGGACAGCTGCACGGCTCTGCCATTGCCTGAGCACTCCAGATTCGCCCCGCTGCTGCCCAGAAGTCAGCTGCTAGTGGCATCGTGGCTTTCTTGTACAGGAAGCGTGCTTTAAAGTGTAGAGCGTTCTTGGCTTTTGTGTGTTTCTTAAATTGGAGGACAAACTCCTGTCTGCTCACTGACTCCACAGTGCCAGCAGTGATGGCTTGGGGCTAGGAACAGAGATCGCAGGCTCGCCCAAGGCCCCAGGCCAGCTGCCCTCCATGGCACGTTAGCTGGAAGCTGGACATTCAGCCATGGGCTTCCAGGTGGTATCTGAGGCACGTGCCTCTGAAGAGCTGTTTTTCTTTTCCTGTCTGTTGCTGACTTACGTTCCCTCACTGTCTTGATGTGGGGCCTTTATTCACTGCAGTGTATTGTTTTGTTTGCATCTGTCCAGCTTGGGAGCCCTTGACTTCCTGAGTGTGTAGATGACTTGTATTGTTTTGTGAACTATCCCCTCTGCTTTCTGTCTCTTTCTTGCTGGTGTCCCCATCATGCGTGGCCCTGAGACTCTACTTGTTGTCTTTGCTCTCCATTTCCTGGCCTGTGTTGTCTCAAGTCTCTCTTGCAGTGTGTCAGTCCTTTGTTGTGTCGCTTGAGTCCTGCTGCTGAGCCCTTCTGGGGGTTGGGGCTTTGTCCTTTCCTTCTGTTGGTGTCATGCCTGCTCATCCTACCTTCCCTTTCCCCCACAAGTATGCATCACACTTGGCTGTTTCTTCTTTGGTTAGATAATTTTTCATTAGAAGCAGGACAGTTTAGATTATGTATTGAAGCAGTTCTCAATACTAATCTCTGATCTCCCACTTTTTTAAAAAAGATGTGTTTATTTAAAAAGCATAGAGACAGGGAGAGGGAGAAAGAGGTTTTCCCTCCACTGGTTCACTCTCCAGATGACTACAACAGCCAGGAATGAACCAGGCCAAAGCTCGGCGTCCAGAGATTTTTCTGAATCTCCCAATTGGGTACAGGAGTCTAGGAGAAAGCTGGATCACAAATGAACCAGCTGGGATTCAGGGCAGCTCCCATATGGGCTGCCAGCAACACAGGCCGCAGCGTTAGCCATTATGCCACAGCACTGGAAGAAAGTCCAATCTGCTTGCCTTTGGACTTGAGATTGTTATTCCTTATTTGTATAGTGACCGGTTGGGTTAATTTAGTGCTGGCTGGCCCAGCCTGCACGTGCCCACATCACCCTGAGGGGACAGGGACTGGGGTCGGACTCCTTCCATTCCTGCCCCACCTCGCTAGTTCATAGCTGGCTGTTTGCTCTGCTGTCTTCGATAGTGCCCGGAAGCACAAATCCCCCTAAAGACGCAGTCCAGTCAGACTTGTTCTTTGAGCAGGGCAGTGGCTCGCAGGTCAGAGTTGCCTGTGTGCTCTCTCCTCAGAAGGGCTCCTACAGCCATCCTGTGGAGTCTGCTGTGCATGGCCAGGCTGGGCCTGTCTCTGCTCCACCTGCTATCCATCTTCCCCAGCTCCTTCACCATGGCCCCCACGCACTGCTGGGTGCACCTCAAGGCTTGAACCTCCTCACACTCAAAGACACAGCCGTTGGATTGGGAAGAACTTGAAGTGATCCTTATAAAAGCCTGCTGCTGCCCAGGGGGGCTGTGGACCAGGGATTAGGGACTGGGGTGGGGACATGGCAGGCTTCTCTGAGTGCCTGCTTTGCCCAGTGAAGAGGGAGGTGGGAGGGAACAAGTAGGACCCTCTTCTAGGTGAGCCAGGAGAGGTGCCCTGGCTCCCAAGTGTTCTACCAGACCCCGTCTAAGGTACAGTGTCTGCTTTCCAGGTGGACCTCAGGAGACCTGTGGTAGAATGAGGACCACTGTGCCCTGTGCTTCTAAAGGAGAATGCAGGAGGCCAGAGAGCCTGCATGGAGGTCCCACCAGGCCAGGATGGAGCCTGCGTCCAGCTGAGCTGGGCCGGGAGGGGAGAGAAGGGATGGGAAGCAATAGCAGTTTGGGTTTCCATGCTAAACCCCTTTTTTTTTCATTGCATTTTCAGTGCTTGGTTCTTGCATGTTTCTTCATTTGTCATCGGCCTCGAGGCCCTTGTAGGCATTGGCGTGGCATTGCTGTCTTGGAGTTGCCCCTGGCTCACAGGGTTCGCGCACCATCAGTGTTCTGGCATGCCCCCATTGGTCAGCTCACACATGTCAGGGAGCTACCCTAGAAAACAGTTTGACAATTTAGTGTTATCTCACAAAGGGGAAAACTGTATCTACACACAAAGCATGTAGCAACTTGCTTTGTGAAAACGGAGAACAGGAACCACTGCCCAGGGGCTGTGTGGGTCACACTGCAGCAACACTCGGCATCTCTCTCGATTGTGTTTTGGTTTCTCCCAGCAGTGGGCTTTCTCCGTGTGCCATGGTGACCGTTGGCATTTTAGGAGCTGTCAGAACAGTTTTCAAAGCAGCTGGGCTATTAGCTGCCAGCAGGTCCCAAGGCTTCCTTGACACTTTAGCATTGCCCTCTTCCTGATGGGTCACACTGGCACCTCGGTGTGACTGTGGTTGTAGCCTGCATTTCCCTGACGCCTGCTCGTGTTGAGTATGTTTCACATGCTTATTGGCGTATTGTTTTTAGAGAAGTGTCTGTTCAGATCACTTACCACATCCCTCCCCACCCGCTTTTTTTTTTTTATTGGTTTGTCTTTTTGCTGCTGAGTTTATTCCTGGAGTTGTATGAATCTTCATGTGTTCTAGGCTTGAGTCCTTTATCAGCTTTACCACTGTGCTTTTTTGGCAGCTTCCTGTGAATCTGTAATTAATTAGACTAAGATGCTCAGAGTGAGATCCACGGACGTGTGTAGAACTGGTGAGCTCTGAGCAAGGTTGGCAGACTGCCACGCTGTCGTGGTGACAGAACACCACTTTTTTGGGGGGTGGAGGGAAGTCAGATGTATAGGGAGGAGGAGAGACAGAGAGAAAGATCTTCATCTGTTGATTAACTCCCCTAGTGGTTGCTACAGCTGGAACTGAACCAGTCTAAAGCCTGGAGTCTAGAGCTTCTTTCATGTCTCCCATGCTGGTACAGGGTCCCAAGCTTTGGGCCGTCCTCAACTGCTTTCCCAGGCCACAAGCAGGGAGCTGGACAGGAAGTGGAACACCCGGGACATGAACCAGCACCCATATGGGATCCTGGTGCGTGCAGGGCGAGGATGTTAACCTCTAGGCTACTGCACCAGGCCCCAGAATGCCACTCTTAGGCCAGCGTCACTATTGTCTTGACAGAATGCCACTGTGAGGCTGGTGTCACACCACTGGGAAAGGATTGGCTACAGATTCTGCGGGTCTGTCTTTCCCACAGCCACCTCTGACTCTGCAATTACCACATAAGGCTGAGCGGCTCCTGAAATCATGTTAGCGTTTTCATGTTTGTCTTTTGAATTGATGAACTGTATGCCATGTGCATCCCCCTACCTCCCCACACGCACCTTTCCCACAGCCAGTGGAGCTGTGGTGACGCTTCACTCAGCTCGGAGTCCGTAGGCCACGTGAAGGCTCCTTCTTGGTGTTGTGTATACAGTGTGTTAGGACAAATCTGCAAATAGATCTAATTCTTCAGAATTAACTTTCAAAGTAATGCTGCTTGTGAAATGGTTTTTAAGTGACCGGGTGACATGTGCCTTGCCAGGCAGTAACTGATACTGCACAGACACAGCACCCCTCTGTCCTGTTTGTCCCCCCAAGTCCAGCGCTGGGCCTGGGACTTTCCCTCCCCAGAGCCGAAGTGTGATTCATAGAATAAGTTCCCTGAGAGCTAGACAGCACCGCTCAGCGTGCAGGGCCTCCTGTTTAGCCCTCCATGGGCTTGTCTGCTTTGACCCCTGAGCCAGGCTCCAGTCCACCCAAGACCAACCCCTTGGAAACAGTCTGTTATGAAAAGATAGCTTGTCTTTGAGTCAATATCCTGAGGGCAGGCAGAAGCAGAAGAAACTTGTGTTCATGTTGTTAGCCCGTATTTAGAGTGACCTGAAGTGCGAAGGGCTTAGCTAAAAGCACAAGAAAACGTTCTTGGTGAGACTTGAATGGTTTAACTTTCTGGACATTAAAATGTGTCTGCTCTGTTACGGTTCCAGAGGAGAAGAAAGCTATGCTGCAGGAGATAGCTAACCAGAAAGGTGTGTCCTGCCGCGCCCAAGGCTGGAAGGTCCACCTGTGTGCCGCGCAGCTGTTGCAGCTGGTAGGTGGGACACTGGGATGCCCTCCCTTGTGCCAGGGCAGGGCGCTGGGATGATTGTTGCCTGCCAGCTGTACCTGGGATCTAAGTGTCACCCACATGCAAGTACCCAGCACAGCTCTGGGGTAGCCCATATCGTGTGTGGCCGCGGCATCAGAACAGAGAACATCAGGTAACCTAGCCGTAGTGCCTCCATCCCACTCTGATCTCAAATCATTTCTCCCAGTGCAGTGACCCAGGATCCACTTCCGCCTGAATAGCAGACTTCAGTGTCCTGCTGAACACACCCTCCCTGTGTACAGGATAAGCCCTCCGTGACCCTGCCCAGCCTGCCTCACCAGCCCCTGCTGTCCTTTCTGCTGCTGGGTGCCCTGTCCCTCCCACCCCCCCGCCCCAACCAGGCTGGTGAGTGACTGCCAGCCCTGTCAGCCCAGCCTGGGTCTTGCTGTTTCTATAGTTTGAGCACAGGATGAGGAGGCTGTCAAACTGACCACCTCACAGCCTTGCCATCCGCAGAGCAGTGGCCCAAAGATACAGGGTCTTCTGAGAAAGGGCTGCCTCGGCGAGTTTACACTTAGAAGAAAATCATATATCACTTCTCGCCTTGTGGTTAAGATCAAGTGTAGAAGAAAATCCCATTTCTGTGAATCGTGTAGGCTTGTTTTCAGAGGTGTTGTTCAGGGCAGCGTTTCAGTGACACGCTTCCACCCACAGGCCCAGGGTCACCATGTCTTCCCTCTTTGTGTTACAGACGAATCTAGAACATGATGTCTATGAGAGACTGACCAACCTGCAGGAAGGGATCATCCCAAAGAAAAAAGCAGCCACTGACGACGACCTGCACCGAATCAACGAGCTGATCCAGGTTAGAGCGGGCCCCTCCCTCCTGAGCACCCCTCCTGCTCCCCCAGCGATCCCCCAGCACGCTTGGTGAGGCCCTGCTGAGGCCTCCTCGGGAGCCTCACACCACACTGTGCACAAGGGGGCCACTGTCACCGGTCACCCCTTCTCTCACAGCCACGTCTTGTGTTGCAGGGCAACATGCAGAGGTGTAAGCTGGTGATGGATCAGATCAGTGAGGCCAGAGACTCCATGCTTAAGGTGTTAGAGCACAGAGACCGCGTGCTGAAGCTCCTCAACAAGAACGGGGCCGTGAGGAAGGTGTCCAAGTTGAAGCGGAAGGAGAAGGTTTAGCCCCAGCGGAGTCACGAGTTTGAAAGAGGATTGATCATGGATGATGGTGGGGAGGGGGTTCTTTGTTGTTTCCGAGGTGGGACATGAGAATAAAGGAAGTGTTCCTGTTCCTTAATTCTCAAGGGAAAACCGAGGGATCGTGGCATCCTGTGAAAGGATCAGAGCCCACTTGACGCCATGCACCTCTTTGTTTGGGGTGCTCCCCCGGTAAACCTGCTGCGTGTCCTCTGACTCGTGCGTGCCGCAACGCCGAGGGCTGGTTGCCCAGCGTGCTCACCTGGTGGATTCTGTAGGACTCATCCCGGCTTGGACTGAGCAAACCACCGGGCCCACATTGGGCCTCTACCCTCCCTGCAGTGGGTCCTGCCTCTGTGTGGCCCTGGAGCAGCAGGTATCCTTCACAAGAGCACCATGGCCCATGCTGGTTGCCGCACGCACGATGGGTTTGTCCCACGTGAGTCCCAGTTCTCGTGGAGGCTCCGAGCACTGAGGTCCTTGTTCTGAAATTCGTCCCTGGTCCCTGTACTTGCGTAGCTCGTGTGCCGCTGTTCCCGGTATGTACCACTCATCTCCAGACGTTAATAAAGGACTCGGAGGGTTTTGTACATGGCCACTTTCCAGAGTGACTGTGGTACTGAACGATGTAGACACACTCAGCTGAGTCTGGTCTGCCCCCAGGTACTCCGATGGTCTAAGATGAGTGCTGAGGCTCCGGTTACCTTAAACATGGGACAGGCCCACGTGGGGGCCTCGTGCACGTGACAGTGAGTTAAACTCGGGGACTGTGACGGTCATGGAGGGTGCCACTGCCATCCAGGAGCTTCTCTTCTCAGTCTCAGCCTCGTGCTTCTCCTGTGTGGCCTCGGGGACCACAGGTGACCCTCTGCTTCCGGGAGGCGTGGGTCTGCAGCCAGCTGCTGCCCTGATGCCAGCCTGCCCAGGCCTCTGGGACCAGCCTCGCAGCTCACCTGCAGCTTCCCCATGTAGGAGTGGTAAGTCTTCACCCGTGGTGGAATGGTTAAGAGAAGCAGAGAGGATCCCTGGTCTCCCTGGGTTTGGGCTGTGAGCCTGAGCAGCCAGGGCTACCTCCCTGCCCCTGCCCAGCGACGGTCAGTGGGCAGGGCGGGGCACGACAACCCAGAATAAGCCTGTGCACATCCTGCCCCAGGGCAGGCAGGTCGTTAACTGACTACTGTGCCACACAACTGAGACGTTTGGGATCCTGTGTGAACAGCTGTGTTCTCTTAATAAAACACACACACACACACACCCCTCACATAATCCTTTTCAAAAGCAGCAGCTTGTCGGTAAGTATGCAGGTCCTTCAACACGTTCACAGACGGTGGAATGAAAAGAGGATTTCTGAAGCAAAGATTTTGGAAGCCTGTGTAGTTTTTATATAATACACATTTTTATTAACTTTTTTTTTTTATTGATTTGTTTAAGAGGCAGAATGACAGAGAGCTTGATCTTCCATCAGTTGCTTCATCCCCTAAAAGGTTACAGCCAAGGCTGGGCTGCTCAGGTCGGGGTGCTGGCATGCCCTCCAGGGACCCCCGGATGTGGGCCATCCTCTGCTGCTTTCCCAGGTACAGTAACAGGAATCAGGAGGCAAAGTGCAGCAGCGGGACTCCAGCCGGTGAGCACGTTGGGTGGACGCATTGCAGGCAGCAGCTTAACCCTCTGCACTGCAAGGCTGGCCCCTTCCTGTTCTGCAGAGAGCACTCATCTGACAGCCCACTCCCTGGATGCTCGGCCCGGCGGGGCTGTGTCCTGCAGCAGGAACTCCCACAAGCCTGTCTTGAGTTTGGGGAGCAGGGATCCAATCACTTGCTATCCCCATTGCCTCCCAGGAACTGATTTAACAAAAAGCTGGAGTTGGGAGCCAGGCTGCTGCTCCAGTGCCGGCACTCCGCGTTCAGGAGGCTGCTAGCTCAGCCATGAAGCTGAACATTAGGAAGGCCCGGCTTGGACACACCTCCGCATCAGGGAGGGCCATGGCGACAGCCTTGCTGTGTCAGCATAGTGCTCAGGCAGGGAATCCTATCCGAGCACACTGGTTTTTGGAAATGGCTTTATTAAGGAGGAATAGCCAACAGAGAGTGAGCATCTGAAGATGCTACCACCTGCAATGGCAGCGTGCCATGGGGGCACCGCTGCAATCCTGGCTGCTCCATTTCCACTCCAGCTCCTTACTGCTGCACCTGGGCAAGCAGGGGAGACAGCTCAAGTATTTGTGCCCGTTACCCGCATGTGAGACCCACAGGGGAGTGCTGGCTCCCAGCTCAGCATGGCCCAGCGCATGCCATGGAAGCCATTTGAGGATCGAGCCAGTTGGTGAAAACAGTGGTCATCACTCACTTTCTCTGCCACTCAGGAACACACATTGTAAGTTTCTTTTGTTTATTTGAAAGGTGCAGTTACAGAATGTGCCTCTGTCTTCTTCTTTCTGATTCCTTCCTCCAATGCTCGTAACAGCCAGCCTAGGCAAGGCCCAAACGAGGAGCCAGGATTTCCAGCCCTGTCTTGTACTTGGGTGGCAGAGACGCACCTGCTCGCCGTGACCACCGTCTCCCACGGCACGTGTGAGCAGGAACCTGGATCGGAAGCGCAGGTGGGACTGGATCCCGGATGCTCCAGTGTGGAATGTGGGCACCAGAGCACACCCAACAACACGATGCCCACCCCCTCTTGCACGACACACTGCGAGCTGTGTCCAAGAAGCCCTCACCACAGTCCGGGTGACGGTCATATCCTGTGGCCTCTGCCCTTCACCGGATTTCTCCCTCATGATGCAGGCTGTTCTTGTCACTTGTGAGTTTGCCCTTTGTAGAATCCGACGAGAGTGCAATGGGCGAAGGTCTGGCTTCTGGAACAGTCCAGTGGCTGTGGATGCCAAGACTGGTTCAGTCACTGCCCACTGCTGAGTCATATTCAACAAGGTGTTGATTGACCTGTGCAGGTGGTGATGCTGATATCCCATATTCCAGTGGGAGGTGGTGGCTCAGGTCCTTGGGCCACTGTCACCCACGTGGGAGAGCTAGATGCCCTCCCCACTGCTGACTGGGGTCTGCCTCTCCACTTCTCAAATAAAATAAGAAATTATGGGTCTAACATGGTAAATCAGTGTTAGTCACTACTCCCGCTTCAAGTGTTTGTTTGTGTCCCAGCTGCTCCACTTCATATCCAGCTCCTTGCTTGTGGCAAAAAAAAAAAAAAAAAAACAGACAATGGATCAAAGCCTTGGAACCCCAAACCTGCATGGGAGACCCAGAATAGGCTATTGGCTCCTGGCTTCAGATTGGCTCAGCTCCGGCCATTGCAGCCATTTGGGGAATGAATCAGCAAATGGAAGATCTTTCTCCCTGTGTCTCTCCTCCCTTTAAGCCTTTTCAATAAAAATAAATCTTTTGGGCGGGTCTCAGGACGGGGCGTCTCATGCCTGGATTCCGGACGGCCGCCATGGGCACATGGTGAGCCGTCCTCCCCGGGCCTGCTGGGTTCCAGAGGCTGCTTCCTTTGGGGTGAGTAGACCGAGGGGGGAGGCCTCTGGGACCCGGCAGGTCCGGCACCCAGCCACCGCCCTCATTGGGCGGTGAAGGGGATTTGGGAGGGGCGCGACCTTGGGCCTGGGAATTTTAAACCTCCAGCAGCCTCCCGGCGGCTGGCGGGTCTCAGGACGGGGCGTCTCATGCCTGGATTCCGGACGGCCGCCATGGGCACATGGTGAGCCGTCCTCCCCGGGCGGCCACTGCGCCATTGGTGCCAGGCTCCGCCTGCTGGCCGCCCGGCTGGGGAGCTCTGGGGATTTGGTTCTTTGATTCGCTGCTTAATTAGCTCCAGGTTGAACCCATTGTGATTCTCGGACCTCAAACAGGCAGTAACTCTTTCCTTGTAAAAGTTGTAATCACTAATAATGCTGGGCACCAAATACCAGTCCATGCAGAAGCCTGGGCTTGGGGCTTGTCCTGCAAAAGTAGCTCCAACGGCTGGCTAATGTGTCAACTGGTAGGGAACAGAGCAGATCTGGTACGAATGAGCAAACCTTAGCCCACAAGTAAAACTAGAAACCAGGAGGGAGCAAAGGTCATGCCAGGCTAGGCTCTTGTACCTACTGGTCTGCAGGAGCCAGGGACACGAAGCCACAGTGTCTAAGGCAGAGGTCGGGACAGGTGAGGAGCTGTGCCAAGCTGAGTCAGAGCAACCACTGGCATGCGAGTGATCTATGGCTGGGAACAGACTCGGTTGGGGAGCAAAGGGGACAACCCTAGCTGGGCTGAGGTTCCCACAAAGAGGTGCATGGCCTGGAAGGGGGGCTGCGTTCTGATCTGGATACAGTTGTAGTCTCCCTTGGCACAAGTGTGGACTGGGATTGGATGCACCGAACCGGGCTGGACCCCGACTCCCCCTGGTGTTCTGGAGGACCAGGGCAGATGTGTGATAGACTAGGCAAGGTCTCAAACCCCTACTGAGCCATGTGTGAGCCATACGTAGGTATGGACAAACCATGGCTGGGCCGGAACATCCAACAGCAAGAACCAGATTGGGTGGAAGGCCAGTCAGGAAAAGCCACAGTTCCTGCTATGACAGGAGGTGGACTGAGTATGGTTGGCTCATGGACCCACTGGTAAGCGTGTAACCTGGCATTGGGAGAGGTTCTGATGGAGGAGCCTGGGCAACTCCTCTGGCAGGACACAGACCCAACAGGTCAGCGCAAGAAACATGATAGGAAACAGCCCAGAACAGGCCATGGAAAGCTACCCACTGGCATACACTTGGCAGACGTGGGGGCAAGACCAGGCTGAATCTGTCCACGTCATCCACTGGCAAATCCAGGCACCAGTGTGGGTTGACCCAGGTTCGGTCGCAACAAAGACTAGTGCACAATATGGAATGCCGAGGTGAGGTTGCCTGTACCAGAGGGGACCGCAGCGTCCAACCAGCCTGAGAACAAGAAAGGAAGTAGGCAGAGCCAGCAGGGGAATAAGGGAGGGTTCCTTTGCAGGATAGCTACTTCCGCAGGAGAGCATGGGCTGGGATGGGGGCAGACCAGACTAGGCAGAGCTACCACACCTGCGTGCCTCATGTGGACTAGATCAGGGAAAAGCCGAGCTGGGCTGATTATTCCTACTGGTGCAAACAGAATTAAAGTGGGCGAGGTTTAGTTGGGCAGCAGTAACTGGAATCTGGGAGTGGGAGAGGCCTGGGAGGGTAATAGTGGGCTCATCCCTCTTGGGTTACCACTTCCACGGGAGGACATAAAACTAAACAGTGGCTGGGG